GCGGCGAGAGTTCGGGTTTCCCATTCGTGCGAAGTCTCGGATAAGCTCGTCTCCAGCCTCAGAGTGCTCTGCTTGCGTCCAGAACAGTGCGAAGGATTAATATCCAATTCTGCTACTACACGCAGTTTGATGACCCAAAAACAAGCATCTGGAATGTTCGTAAGTCAGTGCAGGTCGAATTACTGGTAAACGTGTCAAACCTCGTTTTGAAGGCGTTATCACGCTCCCCAAACTGTGTCGTCCACTGCCTTGCGAGCAACATCCACTGCATCCCGTTTGGCAAGCTGTGCGGGAGGCTGGCAGCGCATATACAGCATTGTTTCCATCGGTTAAGGAAAGTCCCAATAAAGCTTGAAGCCGTGCCCTAGATGTCTGGCCCACCCTTGCACAGATAGCAGCCAAGGGCTTACCCTGCAAGGTTCAAGTCAGTCGAGGACAGCCAGCCACGCCGTCACCTGGCAAGCCAGTGCGTCCCACTACTGGCAGCAGTTGTCCGGGTTGATTGACACGCTGAAGCAGGTAGGTTGTGTATTTCGTTGTAAAAGTTACTTCTGGCCACATTCACTGGTCTTGATGGTCGAGCAGGATTTCTTGGTCGTTGTCATTCGCCGAACGCAGATTACTGTGTCGGGGTCAAGACGCGATCAACAAAGGCAATCGGCATTTTCTAGATCTCGGCTTCCGCCACTCATGAGAGCCGTTCCCCGCGCTCAGCCGGCTCATACTCGACCTCCACTTACAGCCTGCTTTCTGCCACCACCATCGCTTTCACGACTTCAGTGAAGTATATCGCACCTATGTCCGCTATCCGCTGTCTGGCCCGCTCGACTCTGCGTATGGCAAGGCCATCCCTGCGCACGAGCTACCTTACACGACGACATGTCTCTTTCTACAACACTGATATTGCTGCTTTGACGGAGGAGCAGACTGAGGTACGTGTCTCTAAGTTACAAAATCCTTCTCACAACTCACTACCTAAGATTTCACCCAGTTTCGTGATGCTGTCACCGAATTTGCAAAGAAGGAAGTCGCTCCACGGGCTGCAGAAATTGACAAGACGAACACCTTCCCGTCTGTACGCCTACAACATACACTCAAGCTGTCTTTTACTGACTAAGCTCTAAGGATCTATGGGAGAAAATGGGAGAAATGGGACTATTGGGCATAACGGTTTCTCACAAGTACGGAGGTCTCTCACTCGGGTACTTCAACCATACGCTAGCAATGGAGGAGCTTTCACGAGCATCTGGCTCTGTAGCACTGTCTTATGGTGCTCACTCGAACCTTTGCGTAAATCAGGTATGGGTATACGGTATAAAATGGACATGTTTCTCATTACTTCGCTCAGATACACCGATGGGGAACAGACGAACAAAAGAAGAAGTATCTTCCTGATCTCGTCTCAGGCAAGAAAGTAGGAAGTCTGGCAATGAGTGAGCCAGGAAGTGGGAGTGACGTTGTCAGCATGAAGCTTCGTGCGGACAAAGTGGACGGCGGTTACCACCTAAATGGTAATAAGTTTTGGTACGTTGTGTCTCGTGGGGTCTATTCTGCATGCTCAATGGACCTTAGGATAACAAATGGTCCCACCGCATCTACGTTGGTGGTTTACGCCAAAACCGAGCCAGAAAAGGGCTCGAAAGGTATCACCGCGTTCATCATCGAGAAGGGCTTTGCTGGCTTCTCAACGCATCAAAAATTGGACAAGTTCGGAATGCGTGGAAGTGATACCTGCGAGTTAGTCTTCGACAATTGTTTCGTACCTGAAGGTATTCATGATCTTTGCCTGAGAGACTCTTGCATCTAACAGTATCGTACTAGAGAATATCCTTGGTCCCTTGAATAAAGGTGCAGGCGTGTTGATGTCTGGCTTAGATTTGGAACGTCTCGTCCTCAGCGGCGGACCTCTTGGTCTGATGCAAGCTGGTGTGTTTTTTGACACTGTGCTGGTGTGCAATCGCTCATTCGCCTAGCATTCGACTATGCCGTCGAATACGTCCATGACAGGAAGCAGTTTGGCGTACCAGTTGGAACATTCCAGCTCATGCAAGGTATGTTCTTCACATAACCAGGATCCGCCATATATGTAGCTGCCTAACGCTTCGTCAGGTAAGGTCGCAGATATGTACACTAAAATGAATGCGGCACGCTCCTATGTCTATGCTGTCGCTCGCGCCTGCGACGCTGGCAAGGTCAGCCGACGAGTGAGTCTGTCAGCTGAATCTGATGGGGATACACTGATTCCAGCTGGTGTCAGGACTGCGCTGGTGCAATCCTCTACTCCTCGGACAGAGCAGTTGAGGTTTCATTGGAGGCTATGCAATGTCTTGGAGGTAACGGCTACATCAATGGTGAGTTTATTTGTCATTGCGTTCTAATGTGCATCAGACGATGTTGGCAGACTATCCCGTGAACCGCATCTTGAGGGACTCCCGTTTATACACCGTGGGTGCCGGTACGCAGGAGATACGCAGGATGTTGATTGGGAGAGAGTTCAACGAAGAGCTCAAGGGGCGGTCATAAGAAACTGTCCCTCGTTTGATTTCGGTCTACCTGCGGCACAGTATATACTCAGGCACGTCATCAGTCTGTGCTTTCAGCATATAATGATGCTCGCATTCCTCAGGCGACTGTGTGAGTATTGAGGGTTCTAGCCCTTTTGGATGCCAAGAATGCGATGAATGGCAAATCGCCCAGCGTGAATGTGCCCAAAACGTCTTAAAGGGCGTTATTTAATTCCAGACGGCGTAGTCGTTCCTGCGGCTGACACTCACCTTTTGTATTCTATACTCGTACAGTCTTATTGAGATCGCAACCGCTTGCTAACACTGCCAGCCTACTTTGCGCTTTTACGTATCTCGATTTTTATACGACACGTTCTCTCTCCCAGAACTATCTCCACTCGTGTGTTTATCTACTTCATATTTTCTAGCACAATGTCTTCAACGGCTTCCTTCGTGGCAACTGCGTCCTTCGCCACTTTTGTGCCTCCCTTAACGAGCCCCGTCAAGATACCAAACCCGCATCGGCCTCAACCAGTGGCATTCAGCGCAGGTCCATCGAGCCCTTTACCGTTGCCACAAGCACAGGCTGGATTGAACGTATCCTCGGACCAATGTACGCTATCTTTACCTGCAGGACCGCCTCCATCTTCTGGCTATGTCCATGTGCTCCTTCCACCAAACACCGCACAGTAAGCTTGTTCAGCTTCTTCAATGTACTTCATTGCTGAATCCCCTCTGCGAAGACAACAAGAAAGCGTTCACCGTGTGCACCTTTGGCCTCAGCATGTCACTCAGAGCGGTCTCGTCCCAGCGCCGGCGATGCATGCGCCGTATTTCCCTGCACCACTCGAACCTCTCACGAATGCTCGCCCAGCCCAGTTCTTGTACTACCATCAAATTGAATCGGGAGACCGGGACAACCCATACATTGGCTGGAGCACACGAGAGGCTGAGAGCCACAGCTCACCGCCTATTATCCGGCGGCGTACTGCAAGGGCATGTCAGCCATGTCGCAAAAGAAAGTCAAAGGTGAGTTTATCCCTATTCGCTACGTCAGTGAGTCTTATCGATGCGATGTTAGTGCTCTGGTGAACAACCGTGTACCCGGTGTCAAACGCGAGGCCTCCAGTGCGAATACGACGACAAGCTTGTAGTTAGAGGCAATGCCGCGACTACCGCAACACCGGTGAAACCAGCAAGATATCGTACAAGCAGTGGCAGTTCACGAAGCGAACATAGGCACCAACCGTATGCAGTCGTAGGACCCTCAACCCATCCTAGATCTTCGAGGCAACTGGACGTTATTGGGCAACCCTTGAAGCGTAATACAGCAGACTCGCTGGGTTTCGAGCACTTGCAAGCTGCTCTAGAGGTCGCTATTGAGATGGACCGTCTGAGTCATCGCTCAGCGTCACCCCTGCGTAATTCTTCCTTTGTGGCCAGCGATCGTATACTTCCTTTTGAAAGTGGCTTGGAGATGTCTTCAATGGTGCAAACGTTCCATTGCGCGTGGGATACGGAGGGATTCAGGGAAGAGAGTGCCATTGACATAGAACGGGAGTCTGACTCGCAACACAACATCGCATTGTCCCCGAATTGTTCAGACGTATCTGAAAAGTCCTCGGACGAGTCCTCTTCGTAAGCTACCTCATTTCCAGTGCATAACGTCGTTGTGCTCATAGGTCGATATTCTCACAGAGAGGAGGACTCCCAGTCGGACTTGACCCTAGGTACGCATGACTGGTCTGACGGCGTACCACTCTCGACTTCCTTGTCGCCGTCGCCTTTGATGCTAGCGTACCCACCGGCACCGCAGCCTTCTCCTGAGCTCTCCATTGTACAAGAGAGCTGGCCCACTCTAGTCTCGAACGTCGAGTCAGAGCCTGACACCACTGACATCGGACAAGACAAGATGCTTTCCACGGATTCCCGTTTCCAATCGGTGCGCAACCTCGCAATGATCCTTGACGACGTCTTCTCTGCCGGCTACATGCCTTCACAGGCCAACTCTTACATCACTCCCAGTTCTTCGGCAGTCACGCTGGACTTTGACGACTACGTCGACTTTTCGCCTAATGCTAGGCACAGTTCTGTTGTGAGCATGAGGAGACTTGCGACTCCGCTGGCAAGTGCGGTTAAGGTCAAGGCATCGCAGCCCAATATATCACACGAGGACACCCTCCATTCTCCGCGGCCGCCGCGATACGGGCTGAGCGCGTCGATGGGTAGCATCGCATCTCTCGTCTTGTGCTCTTCGTAGCTTGGCGACGCTGCATAATCACCCTGATCTTTGCTAAAGCTAGGATACATAATTTTGTATGATTTTTCATCACTTTGAATATATTCCGAAATCCTAGCCCATGTAGTTGCCGGTCTTTGGGCATCTGAACAACTGAGGATAATCATTGCACAACATATCTTCTATGTCAGTTACAGTGAATTTCGTGAAAGAAGCAGCAGCATAGATGTTAGCTCAATTTCAGAGATCTAAACAGCGGGCACTTAGCACAGGGGTAGCGCGTTCGCTTCGCATTGTTATGATGTGACCTGCGAGAGGTCGAGGGTTCAAATCCCTCAGTGTCCATTTTTTTCCGGAAGCAATGTTGTGTCCATTCTTCTTCTGGGAGGCATTTCGCATGAGTCATGCGGCTTCAAGTCCAAGCGGGCAAGCCCCATTCACAGATTTTGGTCGCCTTGTGCGTTCGCTTACAGACAGCGTCGGCGGAGTTGGGTCAGAATGTTTAGCGGCATTCTGACATTGGATGCCTACTCGTACCCCTCGTACAGTTCAAGTTGATCACGTCTTCCCACTCCTGAGTACTTGTGCACTGGTTCCTTTGTTTGTGATAGTCAAACTCAACGCGGCCATGACCATCTAGAAGCGGCGGGTGAGCTCGATTTGGCTGTCCTGTATTCATGACTAAGGGGTTGGCAAGGGGGTATTCGAGAAATATAGCCTTATGCGTCAAATATTGATCGCCCGGTGGCATCCCAATCTGCTGTGGCGCCTACTGTTCTGTATAATAGCGAAAGGCGAGCAACGAGGGGCTTTTCCGGTGGGTTGTCAACTTTGTCCAGTGCACCCTCACTCAGTATCTCAAGTCTTATACCCCAGCCACACTCTCCCTTGAGCCAGGACGTCCATGGCAGCTGCAGAACGGGCACATGTTCAGTCAGTGCAGTTGATTTCATGCCGCAGGCAGTCTATCTCATCACTCATAACCTTGTCTAGATTGATTGATTCGTACTTTAGCCAGTCTGCAAGCGGTACGACACTGCTCTCTACCATACGCACTCTGCTGATACTCTGCGTCCGACCCCCCCCCCCCCTCTAGTGCTCTTCGTCTTCGACTACTGTCTTACCGTCGGTCAGGAGAGCAATCTCATCTGGAGACGTAAATGGACTATAGCGACCTGGCTGTTCATCGTCACTCGCTATGTCGCGCTTCTCTCCGCAGGATTGCAGTTCATTCAGAACAGCACAATTAGCGGTTACGTACGTGTACCCAGCTCTTCGCCGTTTCGAGAGTAAGCTGATTACTCTGTTTTCGTAGAGGTACGATATTATTGGGCCGGTATGTTTGTGATAACCCATACACACGGCACTTGCACGGTAGCTGTAAAGGAATGACTATCACGACGTCAACACTTTCTGTCGCAAAATTCCTATGCTTCGCCGGTGAGTAATGAATCCCTCAACGTAATTGCACAGTGCTATCTAAACACGTACCCTCAGTGTTCTCCGCCTTGAGAGTTTATGCACTTCTCGAAGGCAACCTACTCGTCACAGGTGTAGTTTTTGTGTTGACTCTCGTACCCGCCGCCACGAATATCGTAAGCCTCATTTATTACGTTGAATCTTTATCAGCCACATTGATGATTGTTTCCAGTACAAGTCCTGCGTGACCTCCTTCATGGTAGCTCCAGAATTCGAATTCGGATTTCAGAGATGCATAGGATACTCGTCGGTAACTGAGAAACTAGCACTAGGGTACGTGTTACATCGCTTCTCGTGAACAGACGATAAAAATACAACGTAGGCGTACGTTGTTCTCTGGTCTATTGATTTACTATCCTTGTTAAATCGCGCGGGCTAACCGACAGTGTCCCTGACTACGCGTCTCACGGTGATTGTCGCCGACATTATTGTGATATGTACTACATGGTCCATAACGTATCAAGCTTATCGGACAGCCCAAAGGCACGGATTCTGGGCTCCTCTGGTAATAATGCTCTTTCGTGATGGTAAGTCTTTCCTATTCTGTCATTTGAAGATCGGCCAGCGCTGACTATCGGCTATGCAGGTACACTCTATTTCATGTCAGTGTCCACATCTACTCGAGCCGCGTGAACATCAGACGAACTAAAGAGTTATTAGTATTCTACTCATCATGAACGTGATTGTCGTACTCCGAAATAATGTGGTGAGTGTCTGTTGCTCGCATCAGTTGTGTTCGAAGACCTACACAGACCCTCAGCCATCCTGGGAAAAGTACGACTTTGCGTCCCCATTCTTGGAATGGTCAGTGGCCGGAGCTATGGCGACCGCTGTCTCGCTTATACTGACCATGCTACGGGCACAAAATTAGCTTCACCCCAATCATCATTTGTCACTTCATACTCAACTTGCGTCAACTCGGTGCGCACGACGACGACTATATGTCTGGCCAGCAGTCAACTATTGTACGCTTTGCTGCTAATCTGGGACAGTCGGTGCGATTCGGCGGGTGGGAGGAGGACAAGAATACGAACCAAACGCAGAGATTCAGAGATAGTGGGGATATTCACCACCCGAAGAGTGAATCTATAGAGCTAGGTAAGGTTGAGGAAGGTATGGAGGAGGGGGAGGATGTCGACGTACACCTGGTGAGTGGTTGGCTATTCACGATCGTCTCTTATGCTTGGCGCTCATTCTGAATCGTTCCTGAAGGCCGGCACTGCTCTACCAGAGCTAGAGCACCTTGGTCGGGGCTGAGTCGCGCTGTCGCCTTTCTACATTTCCGGAGGCAGTTTGTCTGTTACGATTTTTTTCGATGACTCCTTGCTGATGTACATATATGTTTTGACCTTGCCTTTCGGTGGCCCGGGTACCATAGACCTGGGTATGATTGGCAGACGTAGTGCCACCCATTGTGACTGCAGCAGATCCGCGGATACAAGGCGAGTGTAGCTGAGGGCTCAGCTAGGAATACTTACACCAGAAGCTCCTGTCGAATCCTCACTGAGAGGCGCAGGCTGTAGAAATGCAAATGACTGACTTTCGAACGAGCGATACTGCATGTCATGATCGTGTGGCCGATTCGCGAGCTGCTCGCTGTTGGTTGCTCTTTCAACGACGACCAATGCTGCGGTACAACAAGCTCGGGTTTTGAGCAAATGGGCAGTGGCTCCAAGCTCTGGGGAATGCAGGTGAGTGGTTGCGTGTGGCCCGCTTTTCGACGTTGGTATTGTTCATCTTCTCCTATGTTCGAGAGCCTGAGCTGTGCCAGACCCTGACTTGAAGCTATGCCTACGTCTTACATCGTGTGGCTGTAGAACCAGGCAGCATTCTGTTACTGTCAGGAGAGACGTTGCAAGTTGCTGTCCCCATCAAAACGCAGTCACCCTACGCCTGTGTTATGAGTACGTCCTGACGATGGTATTCGTTGAAAACCATCGCCATCCTTGTCTCGGAAGGTTACACTGCTCTTATGTTTGCACTGGCCAGATCGAACCAGTCGTAGGCAGTGCTACTAGTCGAGTCTCTGGAAGATCGAGTGATTGTTCTCTGGCCTCGAGGCAATACCTTGATCGATTGTTTCCCACATACATAAACGAGGGCCTTGGGTCAATGGTGTGCTACTAGTACCCTCCCGTTCCACTGCACTACCACCACGTCTGCCAATGCCCGTCGAAGTCGAAGATGAAGTACCAGTCCCGCCCCCTGCACCTGTTGTACGTGTTGCGCTACTGCGGAGGTGCTCGCTCGTTGACTGATTCCCCATCTGCCTCATGTTAGGCCACAATTCCCACACGACTTCGTCCGTCAAGCAGTGATGAATCCAGCTGGACGTGTTTGATGCGCCTCGTTCGACAAGAGGATGAGGACAAAGTGCAAATGTGTCAAGAAAAGGTCAACATGTGTCTGTTATTCGTGCGTCTTTGTCGCTCCTCGTCTGTATCCTGTGCACTCACGGATACGCCACAGTCTGGTTTATTCTCCATCGTGCTCTCTGTGTTCCTCGTCGACTCCCTCCGAAACCTACAGCCAAATTACGGGGCCATGACAGTCGAGCTACTTGGTCAAATCTCAGCTCAGACGCAGAGCTTTCTCCTCAGCCCGCAATACGCCAACGCCACCATCATATTGCCCTCTCTCACCGTCAATGCAGCTTCGCCAACAGCAATCCACGTAACCACTCTGTGGACCGCGAGCTTGATTGTCAGCATCATCGCCGCATCTTTGGGTTTCCTCTTCAAACAGTGGTTGTTCGAATACATCACGCGAAACAGTTTGTCTCCTGAGGCAGACCTTCGCACGAGGCATTCCCAACGGTCGGAATGGGGTCTTTTCGAACTCGTCGTGTTTCTGCCGCTCTTGTCCCAGATCTCCATGGCCCTGTTCTTCGCTGGATTGTGTATTCAAACCGTCCACGCGAACCCCACAGCCGGATATACCGCGGTCTCGCTTGTCGCGGGATGGGCCTGCGGCTTAGCCCTTCTCATTGTGGCGCCGGTCTTATCACCGCAATGTCCTTACAAGCTTCCATTCACGGAGTCTCTCACTGGTAGTATCAGATACTTCATTCGCCAGTCGTTATCGTCCCCGTGGCGCGTCTCTCCAACCATGAAGGTGTATCATGCATGGGAGAGCATTGTTATGGAGCAGGTCAACGCCGCGAAATGTGACGAGGTGGACATCGACCTTCTCGTGTCATTATACTCCAGACGACGTGAGGACCACGTACTGAACATCATGTGGGACGCGTTGAAAGAGAGCGGGGCGACACCCGAGAATCTCCTCCGCTACGCCAAGAAGATCGTTGTAGTCGCCTATCCTACCTCTCGTTGGGACACAGAAAGTCACAAGAAGAACGCCGTGGTTCCTGTTGCAGCAATGAGATTGCGCTCTCTTCCTAAATCCGCATACTCTACCATCATTGAAAACATCGGTGGTCTTCTCCAGGAGGAGATATACTTACAAACAGGAGGGAATGATACCAAAGCGGTCGAGTGGTCGTCCTGGATGAAAGAAGCCCTCTGTTTCATCCTGGGAGATTCACCCCATTCTATTCCGCCAGGGACCAGCGCGCTGTTGGCCAAATTGATGAACGAAGACCGTGTTGACGCATTCTTTGACGTTATCGTTTCTTCCCTTGCTGGTGACGAGACCTACTCCCAAGTCTCCGCGGACGACCTCGTCTACATCCTCAGCAGAATACAGGAACCGTTCAAGGTGCTCAAGACCATGGAATGCTTGCCCTGTCTCCTAGCTCTTCTACGTCGCTGTTTGTGCAATGATCAGCACGGCACCTTGACTCGCCACCGCAGCTTCCTTTCCGCGCTCAAGGGGCACGTATCGAGCATCCCTCCAGCTTGTCTTCA